GAGGGAGGGAGGGGGAGAGGAGAGAGAGAGAGAGAGAGAGAGAGAGGGAGAGAGAGGGAGAGAGAGAGAGAGAGGAGAGAGAAAGCACTATAACAATGGGAAATCTGATGTCAGCAACGACTCCAAATTGGAAAGCATCTTTTTTGCCAAAAGGATTTTAAACCTATCACTGTCACCAGAGTGAAACTACAAAGGAAATGACAACATCCAGGGAAACAAAAAGATAGTGTATTAGGGTTAGAGCTGAAGGTTTGTACCACTACAGCCAGAATTTTTTGAGCAAACTGGGAGAAAGAGAAATATTATGAGGAAACCAATTGATTAAAGACTAATCTATGACTGCACATTGAGCAAGCATGTAGGAAGGAATAAGTAGCTAAAAGAAGAGGTGGACATTCCAAAGCAAACAGCAGGGGGGAAGGGGTGGTTCAGGGTAAGAAGGATGTAGACAAGAATAACAAAGAAAACAACTACAAACCCCGTGAACCCTCCACTGGTTAAGGGTTATCACCAGCTATTATATATTCTTTATATTTCATTGTTAGTAAGTTATTATATTTTATATAGCACATCTCCTTTCCATGACGCCATTGGTTATAAGATGTATCATAAATTTAATAAGAGCATTTGGAGTTAAGAAGAAAAGGACCTTCAAATTAAACATACACAAGAAATAGAAGAGGCATCCAAATTTCAGATACATTAAAATTTGAGAAAAATTGATTTCTAGAATTGCAGAAACAACAGGTTCTTGTTTTATTGCAGTAGTTCTCAAACTTGAATGTATATTAGGATCACTTGGCAAATTTTGAAAAATCCCAATGTCCAGATTCCTTCCCAGACCAATTAAATCTTAATCTCCAAGGGTGAGACCCAGCCATCAGCATTTTTTAAAGCTGCTTTTACGATTCTGGGTTCATTGAGAAGTGCCTTTTTAAAGAACACTTTCAGTCACTGTCAACAAATGAGTTTGACTTTCACAAAGGACCTTTAGGTATATAAGTAGTGGAAAGGTAGATCCTATCTGACTATTACAGGTTCTAGTGCCCACAGGGATAAAATCAGATATTAAGCTACATTCCTCATAAAATTCCTCCTAAATGAGTCTTATATTTATACTTTATATGCCCCTGTTGTTTAAAAACTTTTGATGGTTTGCTTTTACCTGGAGAATAATGACCAAACTCCTAAACATGGTATTCAAGATTCTTAACAATTTGTACCCAGTATATCTTTCCAGATATTTCTACTGCCTTCCCTCAAATATCCTCTACTCATGTCCCAATGGATTATGAAGAATTCTTGCATACTCTGTGCTCTTCCATGCCTGAATGTGTTCAGTAGTATTTGCTCTCTTGTTTTAGGTGCTTTCTCTTCCTTTTTCTTCCTGGAAAAATTCTATTCATTCTTCAAAAGTTTATGAGATCCATGTAATGTCTTTGCCTGTGCAGGACTTCTTTCTTATGGTGCCAATTTTGAGGAAGAAAGAACTATTACTTCTTTTAATTTCATAAAGCTAATACAATACTTACTGTATTGAATAATAGTTATTTGTATAATAGTGTGTCTTTCCTATGACCTATGAGCTTATTTAGGAGAAGGGCTATAACTTATTTCTCACTGTATCTTTAGAGCTCAGAAGCAAAAACTATAACATGTAGCAACTGTTCATAAATAAAGAAGTGGAATGAATTATATAGTCCCATCATTCTATTCTAGTTACTTCACGCATCAACTCCAAATGTCCACAAAAGGCCTGTGGACAACTAAGTTATCTAACGACTAGAAAGAAATCCAATTTCACCAGAGAAAAATAGCCTGATAATGTACCAGTTGCTTTGTGTTTCTACTTTTAAACCATGGCTAAGTGGTCTTATATATTATGAAATATCCATTATTTTTGGAATGATGCATGCATAAAGAAATACAAGTGATCCAGAAATATTAGAGATTTATTATATATATCTGTAATGGACAGACAGGTCTTTTTATCATGTTCTACTGCCATGCTTTTTTAATTACTATAGCTTTGCATTATGTTTTAATAATAGGTAAGGCTAGAACACTATCATTACCATTTTCTTTCTGAAATACTGCCTAGATATTTTTACATTTATTTTTCTATATTAATTTTCAAATATGGAATTTCTATTTGAATTTATTAAACTGATACCTTAATGGCCAATAGAAAGTTATATATTTCAATTTATTCAAGTCTTCATTTTCTTCATATAACTCTCGCAGTTTTCTTGGTAATTTTATTTCTAAAGGTTTTTTTTAAAAAAAACAATTGTATTACTATTGTATAGAGAATGTTTTCTTGATTCCATTGTTTG